AAAAAAAAAAAAAAAATATATATATATATGTATATATATATATATATATATATTTATATATATATATAATATCCAGTACTGATGAGGAAGTATAAATTCATACAATGGTGGAGTATAATTTGGCAATATGTATTTTTTTTTAAAGTGATAGCCCTTTACATACCAGTATCCCTTATAGGAATTGCAGGGATAGAAGTGAAGACTTACACAAGGTTGCTCATCATACAAGGGGACCCCCAAAAAACAAGAATTATCTTATGAGAGTAGGCCCCTTGTACTACAGGCTTTCTTTGCTAGGTAAGTGTTCTAGGAGCCATTGGCATCAGAATACTAGCTAGCATTGTTGTGAGAGGCTGTGTTCAGCTTCAGTGAATTTTTTTGGAGATTCTTTCAATGTGTTCGCCTGTTTCATAATGGGTGATTTACCCAGTGTACTTGCCCACACTATACTGAGTGTTGAGCAGATTTTGACCGGAAATGGCATGCCCCTCTTCACTACCCTCCCTATTTACCTGATCTTTCCCCGAGCAACGTTATTTATTTATTTATTTTCCTGGATGAAAAAAAGTCTGGTGTGGAAGAAGTGAAACCAAAAATAGCAAAAGCACTAAAAGGCAAAAATGGAAAAGCACTTAATTGATGAGTTCACAAACTGTTCTGAGCAGTGGAAAAAGCATCATGATAGGTGTATTGTATCAAACGAAGAGTACTTTGAAGATGACTGAAGTTTAAGCATGTAAGAATAAATACACAATTTTTTATAAATAAATTTTGGTCTTTTTTGGTCCCCTCCCCCAACCCCATACATTAAAATAAAATACAGGGAGAAATGTCAATTCCTTAATAGGATGAATTGTTGTTACCATCAAAAGCACAGACAGCCTGATGCAGCTGTGAATTGACTGTCCAGCTGTGACATTCATAGCTACAAGACCTCAGGCTGGTTACACACCCCATGTGGGCATCACTTTTCTCTTTTGTAAAGCTAATAGGACCTATCTCATAAATGTTTTCTGAAGATTACATGTTACTACATGCAAAGCTCTGGAACAGTGCTGGGCACATCGTAAGCATTATACAACCGTTATCTAGCAGTGCTTTTACAGTTATAAAACAATGTTTAAAATTTTGATGTGGTGAAAATCTTCATGGTATAATTTTAAGAAAATAAAAATGTGTATTTTCAATCTGATCACTTTTCTAAATATGTGTATGACACAGAAACACACATATGTACATTGAAAGGAAGTGGGGGTGTCACGTATTTGCCTTGTTTTCCAAAGGGGGAAACTATTTTTTTTTCTGAGTTGGAATCTCACTCTGTCGCCCAGGCTGGAGTACAGTGGCACACTCATGGCCACCGCAGACTCAATCTGCTGGGCTCAGGCGATCCTTCTGCCTCACCTTCCAAGTAGCTGGAACTACAGGCATGCGCCACCATGCCCAACTAATTTTTGATTTATTGTAGAGATGAGGTCTCGCCAAGTTGCCTGGGCTGGTCTCGAACCCATGGGCTCAGGCAATCCACTCACCTCGGCCTCCCAAAATGCTGGGATTATAGGTATGAGCCACTGTGCCCAGCCTATATCTATTTTTAAAAACAGAACTGTCAAAAGTAAATGAAATATATAAATTGAGGAATTCATAGTTCTTTTCATTTTGAAAATTGTGTAAAATTGCCAAGTTTTTAATAGACCAAGAAATATAAAGTAACATCAGTTCTTCTGTTTTATGGTATTATTACCACATCTCATTAATGTAGATATACATTATACTTTGTTATCTAAATTTTACAGAATGAATTTGAATACTTGTAAAGTTTTTGTTTTTAACAAAGGAGTTGATTCAGACACTTACGGTGGTCCATAGTCGCATATAAAATGTGCTACATTGTAAAGCTCTTTAACGCCAGAAACTTGAGGGCAAAATTGAACTGCACAGCCAACTTTGTAACTATCTGCCCAAACAACCTGAAAGGAAATAAGGATTTTTAACAGAGAGAGGAACAATAAAATGAACATTTGGGTATGATTAGGTCTTCAGAAACATGAGGATATTTACTCTAGTTAGAGTACACACAACCAGGGAAGTGAGATGCTCATAATTCAACTAGAAATAAGACTTATAATTACTATTAATGGGGTGTGTGTATGTGTGTTAAATAAATATATAAACAATAACGAAAATCACTTTTTGACAGCGCAGTGAAGAAATAAAACAGGGTAATGCAATAGAGAGTGACTGTGGTGGAAGCTGATTTTAACTTGGGTGTTCAGGGAGGACATCTTTGAAGAGGAAGCATTTGAACTGAAGCTTGAATGATGAGGCTGCAGCCCTCGGGCAAACATTCAGGAGCCCCACACGATGGAGGAAGACATTCCAAGCAGAGGGAACACCAGGGGGAAAGGCCCTGAGATGAAGTCGCTTGGCACATTAGCGTAGCGGGACAGGAGGAGAAGGGGAGCCAGGATCGGATGAGTAGGGGAGTAGGGGAGAAACACAGGAAATGATCACAGAGATTCTTATAGGCGAGGGATGTACCCTTTTTTATGTCTTGGAACGATCACTTTGGTGGTTATAAAGGAAACAAACTGAGAAGAACAAGGGAAGCGAAAGGGAGGGAATTTTGGAAGTTGTTTCGGGGGTACAAGAGTGAGAAGGTGGGGTTCTAGAGAGTTCCTCAGGTTCATGGCTCAGCTTAGAGGCAAAGATGAGAGGATTTGCTTTTGACTACAGGGTAAGAGAGAAAGAGATAAGGTTTGGTTTGGGGCCTGAGCAACATTTGCTGAGCTGGAGGAAAACAAGAAGAGCAGGAGGGTGGGTGGGAGCATGGGCAAGGGGTTATGTTCAGAACGTGTTCATTTTGAGATGCCTGTTTGACATCCACGTGAAAAGGGACTTGACTCCGGCAGCTCAGAGGACAGGGTGAGGCTGGAGATGCAAATCTGGAAGACACGGGACTAGATTAGATCACACAGACCAAGATAATAGATAAGAAAACAAACACAAGAACAGCCAGCAAAGCAGACAGGAAAGAAGTGGTTGTCATCTAGGAAGGACACCTGTAGTGGTACTTTCTCCTTGCTTGATGAACACCAGAGTCCACATTTCGTTTTGCACTGGACTCCTCAAAGTACACAGCCCATCTTGACCAAGAGTGTTTGGTGTCATAAAAGCCTAAGGAACAAAGTGTTTAAAGCTAGATACAAGCCAGCAGTGAGATGTGCTCCTTTTTACAACAATACCACATTACATTTCAAATGATGTTTTACTCATATGTTTTTGAACAATCTTGTGACAAGAGCTGTGCTAAGTGTGGGGGACACAGTGGTGAATGAACTGGAACCAGCAGGTGCCTTCACAAAATCTAGGGAAAGGAAGTCACGAAACCATCAGGCGAGGGTCAAAAGAGGGTTGTGACCATTGTGAGGTGCTGAGGGCTTAGAGGGCACCCTTCTCGACGGAAGTGCCATGGAGGTGGAGCCACGAGAGGCTGCTCTGAGGGCCGTGAGATGTCTCCTGGCAGAGGACAACACCTTGTGTGGACCCAAGGTGGGGAAGCCCCCTTCATAGAACTGGAGCAAAGGCCAGTGTGGCTGCAAAAACAGAGCTAGTTCGCTTAAAACAAACACGCGATGAAATTCTCTCCTTGGGGAGAGAGTATAGAGTGAAGGAAGGGAGAGCCAAGGATGGAATCTAGGCTTCTCCAAGGTTTAAAGGTGGTTGGGAGCTGGGGGAGACTGCCGGCAGAGGGGTCCGGGGGCAGGGCGGAGTGAGGCAGCTGGGGTGGGGTTGCTGCTCTTTGCTGCAGCCTCCCCCTTGGTTTGGCAACTGGGGGGGTCCCCTCCTTTGGCAAGGGTCAGCCCACCTTCTTATTCCTTGGTCTAAATGGGGTGCTTGCAGAACTGTTTCTCTCTACCCAGGAATCCTCTGCAGAGAACTCCAGCCTGGACAGGAATGAGTGGCCTAGGACCTCTTTTTTTTTTGAGTTGGAGTCTCACTCTGTTGCCCAGGCTGGAGTGCAGTGGCTGCTTCTGGCCACCGCAGCCTCGACCTGCTGGGCTCAGGCGATCCTTCTGCCTCAGTCTTCCAAGTAGCTGGAACTACAGGCATGCGCCACCATGCCCGGCTAATTTTTTAGTTTATTGTAAAGATGAGGTCTCACCAAGTTGCCCAGGCTGGTCTCGAACCCGTGGGCTCAGGTAATCATCTCACCGGCCTCCCAAAGTGCTGGGATTATAGACGTGAACCACAGCTCTGGGCTTCTTTCTTGCTGAGAGAGCCTAGCTTGATGGGGCCGTTAATCCTCAGGTTTGGCACTTTGCTTAAAAACTTTCCAATCTTTTTTTGTTTGTTTTAAAATGTCTTCGTTTTTATTCACACATCTCAAAATGCTTTAACCTGGGGTGTGCTGTTTAAAAATGCAGGTCTGGGGCCCAGCTGAAACCTACTGAATTGGGGTCACTGGAATTGTTTTTGGAATCTGTAGTTTAGCAAGTTTCTTGGTGATTCTTAGGCGTGCTGGCTGCTTTCTGCATTGTCTCACTTTCTATTTTTACCCTTTGCGGTGGAGCACTTTCTTCCCCAGTGTTGGATCTCAAGTATTCTTGGTCTTTGAATCCCTCCCCACTCTAATGCTTTTTTTCCCCCAAAAAAGTGTGCAGTTGATAGTTATTTCATCGTGTATTTTAGTCGGTCTCTTTTTTAAAGTCAGGCTTATTCGAGGATAATGAACGTACAATAACATTCATTCTTTTTTTTTTGAGTCGGAGTCTCACTCAGTCACCCAGGCTGGAGTGCAGTGGCACGCTCAAGGCCACTGCAGCCTCGACCTGCTGGGCTCCGGCGATCCTTCTGCTTCAGCCTTCCAAGTAGCTGGAACTACAGGCGGGCGCCACCACACCCAGCTAATTTTTGATTTATTGTAGAGACGAGGTCTTGACTCCGTGGGCTCAGACAGTCCTCTCACCTCGTCATCCCAAAGTGCTGGGATTATAGGCATGAGCCACTGCCCTGGGCCTAACGTTCATTCTTTTTAGATGTACCTTTATCTGAATTTTGACAGAAGCATACAGTTGTGTAGCTGCTACTCTATTCAAGATACCGAAAACTTTAAGCGCCCCCAAAAGTTCCCTTTTGCCTCTTTGTGGTCACCCCACTCCCAGCTCCCACCTGTCACTCAACTGTTTTCTGCCTTTTCCAGAATGTTATACAAATGGAATCAATTTGAATGTAGCTGTTTGGATCTGGCTTCTTTCAGTTAGTGTCCATTCCTATTGCTGTAGTCAGTCCTTATTATGAGTCATATTTATTGCACAGATGCACCACAGTTTACTCATCCATTCAAGTCTGTCTCTTTTTAATCGCTTGGTGGACATTCTGGTTCCTGGTTAAACTTGTGGGTTCTGGTTCTACAAAGCCTGAGTTCATATTGTAGCTTTGCCACTTACTGTGTGACCTTGCCCTTCACTTCTTTAGCTATTAAATGGAGGATCATAATAATACTAACTTGATAGGCTGACTTTGAAGTTTAGAATGAGTTTCTGGAACGTAGTGAGCACTCAGCAAATGTCCACAACTCATTCCTTTACCACTAATTTTCTTCCTCTTTAAAATGTTAAAAATTCTGTATTATCAGGCAGATTTCTGTTTTATGTTTTCCTTTAATTTCATTTAAAGTGGTAAACAAAGCCGGGCTCGGTGGCTCAGCCTGTAATCCCGCGCCTTTGGGAGGCTGAGGTGAGTGGATTGCCTGAGCCCGAGGGTTCGAGACCCGCCTGGGCAGCGAGACCTCATCTCTACAATAAATAAATAAAAAAATCAGCCAGGTGTGGTAGCGCGCGCCTGTACTTCCAGCTACTTGAACCGCTAAGGCGGTAGGATCGCCGGAGCCCAGCAGGTCGAGGCTGCAGTGGCTGGGAATGGCCACTGCACTCCAATCTGGGCGACAGAGTGAGACTCCAACTCAAAAATAAAAAACAAAATAAAAGAAAGTGGTAAACAAAACACACAGTCATAAAAAGTAAGCGGAGTCACTCACTGCGAATTATGGGGATTAAACATGCAAATTCATGTTTAATCCCCATAACAACTGAAGCAATGCTATTTTTATGCATGAGAGATTGGAATCTAATTCTTTTTTCCTTTTCTTTTTATTTCAGTAGCTTTGGGGGATTCAATTGTTTATGGCCTGAGATTTAAAAGCACGCCCTCCCCCACTGTACCCAATAGGTGAAGATTTTGTCCCTCCACCCCTTCCCCCCCTTTGAACCTAATTCTGTCTGGCTGCAAAACACTGTGAGAACAGTCCGCGTTCTCTTAACAAGATGCTTTCAGAGTGCTTTCTCTTTTAAGGCAAGCCCTCCCGAACCAGAAATCACTCTAACCCTCTAAGAAAAGCACAGCACCTGGGAAACCCAGAGCCAAGGGACTTATTTTCCCATCATCTTCCCTTTTCAATTCTGTGTAAATCCATCTGGTTCATATGGCTACATTATAATATATGTGAAGCCTACTGGAGAAATTGTGAAACATGTCACATTTCCATTGGTTCTATGAATGTAAAAATAAACATTTCAAGAGAGTAGGGGTAGAGTGGGGGAGATAAAAGCGAAAAATAAGACCAATGGTGCCATCTAGTGGGCAGTCCTAGAACTAGCAAACCCGAGTAATCTGCTACTCCTCCCAGAGTATAATCTATTCCCTAACTTCACAAGGCTGAACTGTCGGCAACAGAGTATCTAATTGATTAATCTTGAATATTAATATACCAAAATTATTTCACAATGCCAGTCTGTTTCCAATAAGGACAAAGATAAAGTGTTGTATTAACATGTCAACAAATATTCTGTACGACTGCCCATCATCACCCACAATCTGAAAATAGCTTGTCTATTTAATAGAAATAAGGATAAGTAGGAAGTTATAATATCCACTCCAAATAACTGTAAAGCATGAATTTTAAATGGCAACTGAGTAGTCTTTAATCCCCCAGCAAGATTTCTTGCAAGGATGAAACAGGGAACTGAGCTATCAGATTATTCTTCCATATAATTGCAAATGAAAAGAAAAAAAAAAAAAACTCATGGAAAGGATTTATCTACTCTTTGTTCTATCCTGCAAAATACTGGTACTTTATTAGATAATTTACATACATCATATTATTTAAGTCTTCCAACATATGCAATGTCTGGGTCTCAACTCTACTAGCTAAATGACATTGGGGAAACAGCTTCTCAACTCCTCTGAGCCGGTTTATTCATCTGTGGGTAACAGCATCTCCCTAATAGATCTGAAGTAAGCAGTGAATGAGGTCTTCAATGTAGAGAGCTAAAACCATGCTCATTTAAAAAGTGGTTGCTGCTGCTGTGTCTTCCCAGACCCAGGGGTCTCCCAGACATCCCACATGATGAGGGTCCCTCCTCTCAAGTGGGGGTAGTATCATGCTGCAAACTTGAGTTAGTGGTCTCTTAAAGACAAGAGGTCAGGATCACTCATCTTGGGTTTTGTTATTTGTATGCATGGGACTGGATTTTAGAAAACGACTTTTAACATGTCTAAAATATGAGTTCTTTTCTTGGAGAAAACTTACAAGGAAGCTCAGTTACTTTAAGGAGGGTGGTCTGTGAAATCACAGGCATGTGCAACAGTAACTCAAGTTTCTTCCTGTTTCAACACTAACTGAATAAATGAAAGTAAGCACCTTCAAACTGACAGTTATTTCTGGATATTTAAACACTACAAATGCATAATGGTATGAAGTACTGCTTGTAGGCAGCCTGGATTTAACTTTCTCACGCAGATCTTGTTGGAATTTTTTAAAAAATTACTTTCTGGTTAAATTTATTTGTAAATGTAAACCAAAATTGTTATACAAAAGTGTGCACTTCTATAACCTCTCTCAACTTGGTTTACCTATAACAACACTAATGAGGTCGGAGGCTTTATAAGGTCGAGTTGGAGTGAGAGTTTTCCTAATGATACATTATTCTTTAAAGCCACCTAATATTTCAGTGTAACTTCCTTGTTAAAAATGTTTTAGGTGGCCCACATCTGTAATCCCAGAATTTTGGGAGACTGAGGCAGGAGCGCTGTTTGAGTTCAGAAGTTTGAGAACAGCCTGGACAACATAGTATGACCTTGTCTCTACAAAATCAAAAAATAGCCAGGTGTGGTAGTACATGCCTATAGTTCCAGCTGCTCAGGAGGCTGAGGCAAAAGGATCACCTGAGCCCAGGAGGTCAGGGCTGCTGTGAGCTGTGATTGTGCCACTGCACTCCAGCATGAGCAAACAGAATGAGACCCCAACTCAAAAATAATTTTTGCCTTCATACCTCATTTCAACAGATCTTTGTACATGAAAAACAGTCAAATATAGGTTAAATACCTTTAGTTCTCGGTTTGACAAGGATTGCAAGAAAATAAAAGTAAATAAACAAAATGTGACCAGGATAGGAAGGCAACATCTGAAGATGATGGAAGATGTCACCTGGGGATTTATTTTCACCATGCTGCAAACTTGAGCTAAGGTTAGGGAGACAAAAGCAGCTTGAGTTAAAAAAAAAAAAGACCTCAAATGTGCCTGTTGGGACTAATAGTGTAGATTAGGGGGACAGAATAGCCTCAGGACGGTTTATGTAAACAATCACTGGCCCCTCCATTGGTTGGGAACTGATGGCTTTCCCTCCTTGTATGGTACCATGCCCTGCACACAGTAGGCCCTCAATCGATGTTTGTGAGAACGAGAGGTAGTAGAGGCATCAATAAAAGGCTTCTTTCTCTCAATTCTGCAGTCCCAAAACAACTACCTTACATTTCATTTAGAATTTTTGCCAGCTGGAACTTGGAAATTCATTCACTCACAAGGTTCTTTTTTGTTTCTTTAATTAATTAGTTAAGTAATTAATTTTTTTGGTGGGGGGTTGGTCATTCTGTTGCCCAGGCTAGAGTGCAGTGGCATGGTCACAGCTCCCTGCAGCCTCAAGCTCCTGGGCTCAAGTGATCTTTCTACCTCACCCTCCCTGTTGGTTGGGAATATAGATGTGCAGTATGCTGGGATTATAGGCTTGAGCCACTGCACCTGGCCTTCGTAAGGTTTTCTGGTTGCTCACAAATTGAATAAAGCCCCATGGGAGAATAGCTGTCATCAGAATTGTTCAAAGCCGTCCACATTGATGGGTCTTGGATATCACCTATTAAGAGTTTAGTTCACATCACTAAACTCTTCCACCACTATTTTTTCTGTCAATTTATTATTTTTTAAGTAAGTCTGTGACTTTTACTCCCTTATATTTACAGGTGTATTGGGTTACTGTACACTTTCTTAACCCCACATTTCAGTTTTCTTTTCACCCTTGAAAAGATAGTTTCAAGAAAATGCAAGGCAGATACTTACCTGAGTGTAATGGCCACAGACTTTGACGCATTTCCGTGTGTTGAAGTCATAGTACTGGATCTCATCATACCAGTTTCTTATGGCTGAAGACACAGAAAAGAGGGAGACAGACCCAGTCCAGATGTTTTCTCCCAGTGAGGTGAAGTTTGGGTGTAGCTTGTGGGGTGGGTGCAGCTGTGGGTTATGTTTAAACAAACAATTTTTTGCCCATGCTTTTGCAATTTGGGCTAGTGCTGGGTCCCAAGTCTGAAAAAATAAATGTTAAACAATGAGGGGGTCAAGAAGGGAACTTGTTACCCAACATGTAACTGGGTTGAGCCGAAGGGGAACTGAATGGGAAATGAGATGTGACCACAAGATTCGAGAAGGAACTACTGCACAGGATTCTGTATAGATGTGGTCTTCAAGCATTGGCTAGGACTGGGTGGAAGCCTGAGAACCTCATGTTGTGGAAGTTAAAATCTAAGTGAGGGAAACAGCAACATTTCACTGAAGGCCAGTCATGTGAAAAATAGCGTGTGCTGTGTCTCACATATTTTATACAATAACCACAATAGCCCATGTCCCAAGAAGTTGAAAGGTTAAAAGCCAGCTCAAAGCTGCAGACCTTGGATTTAAAACCAAGCCTCGCCGGGCTCGGTGGCTCAGCCTGTAATCCCGCGCCTTTGGGAGGCTGAAGTGAGTGGATTGCCTGAGCCCGCGGGTTCGAGACCCGCCTGGGCAGCGAGACCTCATCTCTACAATAAATCAAAAAATCAGCTGGGCGTGGGAGCGCGTGCCTGTAATTCCGGCTACTCGGAAGGCTGAGGCGGAAGGATCACTGGAGCCCAGCAGGTCGAGGCTATGGTGGCCGGCAGCGGCCACTGCACTCCAGTCTGGGCGACAGAGTGAGACTCCAACTCAAAAAAACAAAAACAAAAAACAAAAAAAACCCAAGCCTCACCTAATCAAAATTCCACCTTTCACCAGATGCCATGCTGCTGTCTTGAAAAGTCAGTAGTTTGACCGGGCTCGGTGGCTCAGCCTGTAATCCCAGTGCTTTGGAAGGCCAAGGTGAGTGAATTGCCTGAACCCGTGGGTTCCAGACCCGCCTGGGCAACTTGGCGAGACCTCATCTCTACACTAAATCAAAAATCAGCCGGGCGTGGTAGCGCGCACCTGTAGTTCCAGCTACTGGGAAGGCTGAGGCGGAAGGATCCCGGAGCCCAGCAGGCGAGGCTGCGGTGGCCGGGAGCGGCCACTGCACTCCAGTCTGGGCGACGGAGTGAGACTCCAACTCAAAAAAAAAAAAAAAAAAGAAAAGTCAGGAGTTTGCCGGCAGCAGAAAAGGTAAACTCAGAGACAAAGAGAAAAAAAAAAAAAAAAAAAAAAGAGGAAAGAAAGAAACAAACAAGCCACAAAAATTAACAGAGAAAAAAATGACAAAAAAGAGAAGTGAAATCTACCCATGATCAGAGAAAAGGAAGTGTCTAAAGAGAGAAGTAAAACGGACTGTGAAGCATGCTCACAACAGGAGTTGAGTAAACAGGGCTAAATGGGGCGTGTTTTGATGACAAAAAGTTCCTTACTGCACGAATTAGTCACAATGAAAAAAAAAATCATTCGGGATTACAAAGGATTTAACCCCAGAGTCAATACACATTAGTTGCTTTTGACTGACTTAGGCCACAAGTATTGATGTTTTCCTTACCATGTACAGCATGTCACTGGCTCTTGGAGTCACCTCTGATCGGAACTTGTTATGAATTCGAACGCAGTCTCTGATGAAATCTTCATTGTCAATATCTGGCAAAGTATGTGCTGCATATGAATAGCTGGAGATGAAAGAAATCATCCAGGTTGTGGTGGCCAGCGTGCCTCGCATGCTCAGTCTGTCTGATGTGGAGCCTGGGAGGCGGTGGCTTAGCTGCGGCAGTTCCTGAGGCGGTGCTGGCCTCTCCTGGGGCTCTCAGCCGGCAGTCCTACAAAGCTCAGCCGACTTGCAGCCTTGAGGAAACAGAAATCAGAGCGTGAGTTCATCACCAGTTTGAAGAAATGGGTTTCTCCATATATGGCCTGAAGTTCATTCGGTGCTCTTAACCCTGTCTTTTCAGTGGTTTTCAGTGACACAGTACCTATTACAACATAGATTTTTATGAGGCTGTGTCAGGCTTTCTTTTGAGTAGAAGGTTATTTCCCAAAACAGTTCAGGAGTCTCCAGAAAGAACAGTCTTCAATTTTTAATGGAGTTTGTGGTGACTAAAAAAAAAAAAAAAAACCCAATCTCTTATTTCTATGAATGCCTTGAAAAATGCTTTCAAAAATATTTTAAGAGTCATATCAACACACAGTGGTTGGATTCTCTGGTTAACATTGTAAACATGACCTAGAATTCATTCACAATGGTGGAAACCTGTAAGCATGAGTGTGTGTGCGTGTGTGTGTGCGTGCCCACATACAGGCAAGCATGAAAAGAAAGAGGGGGCTCACACACAGACAGCAAGAGACAGAGAGTGAGAGAGACAAAAATAGACAGAGAGAGAGAGACAGAGAAAGAGACAGAGAGAAAAAGAGATACAGAGAGAGAGAGAGAAAATAGTAGAAAAAGCACTGGTCTCAAGTTCGTATTTTCGTTTAATTCTGTTCCTTACTAGCTGCAGGACCTTGGACAAGTTACCAGATTCTAAGCCTCAGTCCCCATTGAATGAAGTTGTTGAGATCTTTATACCTCCTTAACTGTAGAGGTTTAGGAGGACCTAATGGGCTAGTTAATATATTAATTCAATGCATACTAAGTGAAAGGGTAAACCGAGACAAGGTGGGCCGGTGCTGAGGGAATAATGCAAGATTGCAACAAGGAAGGAAGTAGAAAGAGTAAGTTTATTATTCACCTTTCACAGATGGAAGTCACACTCTAAGGCAAGTGTGGTGTGGCAGGCTAAAGACTAGGAGTATTTAAGGGCTCTAAAGCAAGCCCCTAAAACCAAGAGACTTAGACTTGGAGGAGGTCTGGGCCAAAAGGAATGTTCAGAGTTGCATACTTCAATTTCTATAGCAATTACATGAATTTCGTATATTGACATCACCAGGCATCAGCATTCCATGACTTCTGGGGGTAAGCTGGGATAGTCACGGTTGGGTGATAACAATATACCAGTAAACATGCCTGCCGGTGGTGTGCTGGAGGTCGTCATGGGCAGCTGATAACAAAGAATCAATACAAATGTCTAAAAGATAAATTGTTAGCAAGCTGGACATGCTCAAAGGGTTCTGTATAATCACTGATTTCTAAAACTAAAGCATTTTTCTTATTAATGATTATAATTATAGGCCAAAGAACCTATGTGCCGTGCAAGCTGTGTAGCCAGGGAATTTCAAAGTGTGAGGCCTAAGCAAAATGGCTGTGCTGCTTTAAAATGGTACATAGTAAACTAAGTATTCGCTACACTTCAAGAGCTCTCTCCTTTCATTAAGTTCCTGCTCTGTGTGTTCAGCCTCAGCTTAGTAATATGGAGATAAAAACATAGTCACTGCCCTTACAAAGCTTGAGTGGTAGGAGCTGAGAGATGGTGGTGACAAGGGTGGTTACAACAGGTGCTGTTTGGTGTAAGAAAGCGCTGGACTCACAGGACAGGATGTGTAACCTGGTCTGGAAAGGGCAGAGATGGCCTCCTACACATGGACTAGGATGAGCCTGGTGTTGATCAGGTGAAAAGGGACTGAAGAGATGAGTGGGGGTTTGGAGGGTTAAGAACTACATATTTAGTTTTGAAGTTGGAAACATGGCAAGAATAGAGCAAGAACCACCGCGTGCTGTCTCCCTCTATAGATATGGTCTACAGGTATTGATTCTGGCTGGTAGGAAACATGATACCTGGTCTCATGGAATTCAGAATCCCGATGGTACTTTCATGCCAACTGGGTAGGGAAGTAAGGGAGGATTTCTGAATTCTGCCAGTGATTTGAATTTTATCATCAAGGTGATGGAAAGTTTAGCATGGGTAGGGCATGAACTGGTTTAAGAAAACATCTGTATTTTAGGAAATTAAGAGATAAGGAAATTGGAATGGGGCTTGGAAATACTTCTGATGAAAACAAAACTACAGAAACATTATAGTTTGTAATTCCAGCTGCTCAGGAAGCTGAGGTAGGAAGATCGCTTGATCCTAGGAGTTTGAGGCTGCAGTGAGCTGTGATCATGCCACTGCACTCCAGCCTGGGCATAAGAGCAAGATCCCATCTATTAAAAAAAAAATGAAAGAAAGGAAACATTACAAAACTATAAAGCAGAATTACTGTCATCACACATACAAATAACCTTAATAATTTCAAATTTGTTCAGGTTGCTTGATTTCTGCTAGTATTTCTTTTTTTTTTTTTTTGAGTTGGAGTCTGTTGCCCAGACTGGAGTGCAGTGGCTGCTCCTGGCCACCGCAGCCTCGAACTGCTGGCTCTGGCGATCCTTCCGCCTCAGCCTTCTAAGTAGCTGGAACTACAGACGCATGCTACCATGTCCGGCTATTTTTTGATGTATTGTAGAGATGAGGTCTCGCCAAGTTGCCCAGGTGGGTCTCGAACCTGTGGGCTCAGGCAATTCACTCACCTCAGCCTCCCAAAGGCGCGGGATTACAGGTTGAGCCACCGAGCCCGGCTCTGCTAGTATTTCTTAACATTATATTCACCTAAGATAAACATCTTCCTATCTGGGTCTTAGAGGCAACTTTCTGATCTATGTAGTGACAATCAACAGTGAGATCTTCCTCCCATTTGAAGCAGTACCCAGGCCTGCTTTTCGTCTTCTGGGTCTCTATGAACAAGAATGTCTGAGTTTTGAACACAATAACAAGAAAAATGAGTTCTCAGAAGCAAGCACGTTTCAGTGATGTTTTGTGATTGCTTAAGCGATCTGTTATACACATACAACTCCCAAGAATAAGCAATATTATCTTGGTATGAAAATGAATTAATTGAGTTTTTTCTCCAATTTTCTGAAATGATCAGCAAAAGGAAAGTCTGCCATCACAGAGATGATTTTTACGTTATGATGCGGAACACTGAGCCTCTTAGAACCACAACTCTCAAACGTCTCAAGTCACACTATATTTTGACAACAAAAAACCATAGAAGTGGTTTGTCACACAACAGAAACTTTTACCTGGAAGCAAACGCAAACCCCCACTTCTTAGAAGGCTTACAACTCTGCTATGAGCTTTCCCACTTCTAACCCAGGTCTCTGCCACCATCTCCTTGACAAGTATGTGTGTATTTTAATAATGAGAGGCTTCTTTTCAGTGCTTATTGCTGAATGATAGCATCTTAGCATATTTTTTACCTTTTTTATTCTTTTCTGTATTGTTTACATTTATTTATTTAATTTTTTTTGCAGTGAGAATGTGCTATCTTTCATAATTAGAAAGTAAACCAAAACTATTTTCATTTTGGAGAGATATGGGATTTTTAAAATCACGCACAGGTCAGGCACTGTGTCTCAAGCCTATAATTCTAGCACTTTGGGAGGCCGAGGCAAGAGGATTGCCTGAGTCTGCAGATTCAAGACCATCCTGGGCAACATGGTGAGACCTCGTCTCTGCAATATATCAAAAAATTAGCTGGGTGTAGTAGCACACACCTGTCGTTCTGGCTACTTGGAAGGCTGAGTCGGAAGGATCGCCTGAGCCCAGCAGGTTGAGGCTGCGGTGGCCAGGAGCATGCCACTGCACTACAGCCTGGGCAACAGAGTGAGACCCTAACTCAAAAAAAAAAAGATAATAATAAATAAAATAAAATAAGATCATGCACAAATCCAAACATATGCACAGTCTAATAAACCCATGTGTAGATAAAAGACTAAAAGGATGTTGGTAATTTCAGTATTAATTGTGGGTATTGCTGCCTGATGAAATACGTCTCTTTATGTTTCATTCACGTGTTTTCTAGAAAGTAATAGCTTGTGTAGCTAGAGAAAATCAAATATATATTATTTGAAAAAATATTACCCTTTCTCTACTGTGCTAAATACTTCCATTTAGATACAGGATGAACTTTTTTATTTCCAGAAAAACCATAATAATGAATTCCCTACAATCCCACCCTTTTCTGATTGAATTTTGCAAATATTTAGGCTCCAAAAGCCTCTAGTTACCTATTCTATTGGAGCTGACGGTTGGGGGGTAGTGAAGATAGACTAAAGTAAAACATCCAGAAAGGAAGAGGGACTATACTATTTATGACCAAACATATCACTGTCCCATCATCTGGTATGATGATACCTTAACTTGGTCTAAGTCAGTTTCATGTTTGTGAGGGTATACAAGCTAACATTAATCTATATCCTAGGATCAGTTAGCTCGTCCTGAAGTACTCTAATCAGGAATTCACACTCCAAAGGTGGTCTTGGCCCTTCAGATATGGTTATACAAATTGACACCAGTGAGTTTGTTAATTAGAAAAGGGATGTTCAAGAATAGTTTTTGCTGTCAAAACAAAAAATGTTCAAGATGGCTGGCTTTTGGGAAGAGCACAGTTTCCTGCCATTACAAGATGTAATAAAGAAGCAGACACACTCAGATTTCTAATACGCTGGTAAAGTGCTCAAGGGAATTGCCATCTCATGGGAGGCTCCAACCCCTGCCCTGACTCCAGGGCTGCCTCTCTAACTATATAGTTTGTTGAGTGAGCTTCTCACACAGTTTATGGTTGGAGTGTCTAAGGGCAGAGAGCAGGACTGTTTTTGTAATTGTATGCTAATGGATGTTAAGACATTTAGCAGACTTTATCCAAGACTTGTTTTCATAGTAGCACACCAGCAGATATTGAGGTTGTGTGTGTAGGGTGGGAGGGAACATAGTTTTTGCCTAACCAGATCCACTTGCACGAGGTTCCATATTTATCAAAAGAACTGAACATTTGAGGCCACATTAGCTTATTCCAGTTGGCAGTGGTGATGACAAGCACCAAACTAGACTTTTTCATATTCATTACCTCATTATTCTCTCACGATAATATTGTTATAGATATAATATGTACATAACATATGTAAGATATATAATTATTTCTATTTAAAGATGAAAATATTGAGACAAAAAGAGGTTCAATAACTGGACCAAGGGCATGACACTAGCAAGATGTTGACATAGGGTCTGATTGCAAATCTTGTATATAGTCGTTAAGAATGTAAATTCTGGCCCGGTTCGTGGCTCAGCCTGTAATCCCCGCACTTTGGGAGGCTGAGGAGGGTGGATTGCCTGAGCCCGTAGGTTCGAGTCCAGCCCAGGCAACTTGGTGAGACCTCATCTCTACAATAAATAAAAAATTAGCTGGGCATGGTAGGTCATGCCTGTAGTTCCGGCTACTTGGAAGGCTGGGGTGGAAGGATTGCCTGAGCCCAGCAGGTCGAGGCTGTGGTGGCCATGAGCGTGCCATAGGCAAAAGAGTGAGACTCTAACTCCAAAAAAAAGAAAGAAAAAAGAATATAAGTTCTTTAGACTGTCTGGGTTCAAATTAAATAGTCTGTTCTGGATGTATGACCGAGCATTTTGTCTCTTTGTCTTTTGGTTATCTTATCTATAAAATGGGGATAATAATAGTACCCACTTCATTGAACTGATCGTTTTTTTGTTTGTTTGTTTGTTTTTTTGAGTTGGAGTCTTACTCTGTCACCCAGGCTGGAGTTCAGTGGCACACTCACAGTCACTGCAACCTCAACCTGCAGGGCTCAGGTGATCCTTACGCCTCAGCCTTCCAAGTAACTGGAACTACAGGCACGTGCTACCACACTCGGCTAATTTTTTGATTTATTGTAGAGATAAGATCTCACCAAGTTGCCCAGGCTGGTCTCAAACCCCTGGGATCAGGCAATCCTCTCGCTTTAGACTTTCAAAGTGCTGGGATTACAGGCTTGAACCACCGCACCCAGCCAAACTGGTAATTTAAATAAGAAATTGTAAAAAGAGACTAGAGAATACTTGACACCCAAAAATACTATATATCTTAGCTATTATTATTATTGAAAGGACATAAGAAGGGGTCAGTATATCCAACGAGCAGCCATTTTAACATTGCTTGACTTTGTCATGCTTTTCTGGCAGTTCACTTTAATTTAATCCTCTAATCACTAGCCAAATACAGAACAGGTTTCTCAGCAGTAGCTATGGATATTTACCTTATAGTCTCTCCCCAGCTTGTTTTGAAAACAAGTTAACCTAATCAGTTCTTCATGAAACAGATCTTCACGATACAGACTCCATCACCATGGCAGCAGTCATGTGACTAGTCCATCCCTCTGCTTGCTATCCACTTGATGTCAGTACCTGTGTTTACCTGTCCCCTCTGTGATGACATGGAACAGACCACCACCCAATCACCTTAACAAACTGCCCCATACTAAAGGGAAGATTTAAAAGCATTCAACTTTTTTTTTTTGAGTTGGAGTCTCACTCTGTGGCCCAGGCTGCATGCTCACAGCCACTCCAATCTTGACCTGCTGAACTCAGGGAATTCTTCTGCCTCAGCCTTCCAAGTAGCTGGAACTATAGACACACACCACCCTGCCCAGCTAATTTTTTGGTTTATTGTAGAGATGAGGTCTTGCTAAGTTGCCTAGGTTGGTCTTTGAGACCCCTAGCTCAGGCAATCCTCTTGCCTCAGCCTTCCAAAGTTTTGGGATTACAGGAGTGAGCCACCACGCCCAGCCAGCATTCAACTTCAAGCAGCCATTCACCATTATTTTGTTAAACTCTGGTGTGTCCATGAGGTTCTTTGAGCTATGCCCACCATGTTTTCTAGCTTTGGCCCCTTCCCTTACCTTGGGGAGGTAAGTCTCCTCTTTCTCTAATTTACTTTCTAAATGAAAGGAGGGACCCCAAAAAACTTAGAATAAACTTAGTTCACATTTTGCATCAGTATAACTATTTTTGCTTAGACTGACACACTTTGAATCTAGCACAGGATGAACACAGACAGATAAATTTTCAGTAGGCAGATTTTAGGAATTTTTCAGACATTTTACTGCAGGCCAAGCTGGCAGCCTACCCCACCCACTCAGCAAATCTCCATCAGATGCAAGACTAGGACAGCCCAACCTTTCAATTCATGGTTTAGCATAATAATCTCTAAGAAACTTTCAGGTTCCTTGTCAAGGTGGGGGAAGGTCAAAGATCATTCCTTACCTGGCCAAAGCCATAGAAATGATAATAAGACCACTTTTTGCTAAGAAGCTTGTGGATTGAAAACATCTGACAGGTCTCTTGCAGGAAAAACTCCTCCCCTTGTCTCCTGTCATCTAGCCTACCACTCGAGGTAATGAGATGCTAACGGTTGGCGGTGTCAAGATCTAAGACTTATGTGGCTACAATCAACATCAAAGATCACAGCTTTGGACATTCCTTTTGGCCCAGCCCCTCCTGGGCCCAACCTCCCCCCCCCAACCATGGCAGCAATCATGTGATTAACCCACCCATCTGCCTGCTGTTCATCACCTGATGTCAGTACTTGTGCTTACCTGTCCCTTCATGATGACATGAAGCAGACCACCACCCAATCACCTTAATGACCTTTCCCCATCAAAAGGAAGGATTAAAAGGATTGTGGCCATTTCTGGCACTGCTGCCACTGTCTTGCTAAGCTATGGTGTGGCCATGTGCTCTTTGAGCTATGACCAGGCCATGTTTCCTGGCTTTGGCCGCCTCCCCTACCTTGGGGAGGTGAATCTTCTCTTTCTTTTTCTCTCTCAAATTTACTTTCTAAATAAACTATATTTCCTAATCTAACTTCTATGAAATTCTTTGTATCTTTCTCACAGCACTGAATTGCACACCAGATACCCACACCCTCAGCAGGCCTAATCTAACATTCTGGAGTCTCCATTGGGAGAGTGATCTAACATTTTTGGAGGTCCCACTGAGATCTAACATTAAATAAACTATATTTTCCAATTTAACTTCTGTGCAATTCTTTGCATCTTTTACATGGCACTGGATCACAGACACCCCACCCACCCTGTGGGTCTGACCTAACATTTTGATGGCCCCTACTGGGAATTTTTCTTTTTATTTATTTTTTTCTTTTTCTTTTTTAGAAAGTAGGATTTATTGGGAAGACAGAAAAACTCCCACAGAGGGAGGGGACTAGAAGGGTTGCCCTCCCACTGGGATTTTTAACCTAACATTTTTGGAAGTTCCACTGAGATTCTGGTACCTAACAATTATTATTACTTTTCTTTTATGACCTTAGGTATGCATGCCTGCATTTCATAGGTAAAATTGAACCTATGTTTCACATAGAACATTTTTATATTTACAACATTACACTTAGATAAGGTAATAAAGTCAAGTTAGTTGTTAGAAAAATATATCTTGACACTATAAATATTGTTGCTGTAGATTCATAATGAATTTTGTACAAATTATTCAGGATGGTGTAAGATTTGTTTCTTGATGGATTCTTTATCTTGTGACTTTCAAGCACTGCATTTGGTATTCATTTGGTGGTCTAAATAAATAATTTGCTTTCTTAATATTAGAAATGGATGTCTTGAATAACTCATAATAACATTTTATAGTTAGTTTTCAAACATTTTTGGAGATTTAGATGAAAAATGATGGGCAATGCCACTTCTTATTCAAAGGTGCTTTTTTTTTTTTTTTTTTTTGAGTTGGAGTCTCACTCTGTCACCCAGACTGGAGTGCAGTGGCATGCTCTCGGCCACTGCAGCCTTGACCTGCTGGGCTCCGGCAATTCTTCTGCCTCAGCCTTCTAAGAAGCCAGACTACAGGCGCGTGCTACCACACCCGGTTAATTTTTTGATTTAGTGTAGAGATGAGGTCTCACCAAGTTGCCCAGGCGGGTCTCGAACCCGCAGACTCAGGCAATTCACTCACCTCAGATTCCCAAAGCGCGGGATTACAGGTTGAGCCACCGAGCCCGCCTCAAAGGTGCTTCTTGTACAAACATGCGGACCAAAGAAATTCTCCAACTAATAAATATACTCATTTCTTCTAAAATAATATACAAAACAGGAATATTGCCTTTTTTAGTTATTAGACTGAAATATGTGTTGACTTTTTAGCTTTATTATATATTTCTTTGGTGTACCCAACACATGAAGATCATTAAAAAAAGAAACTGCCTTTAAAAATATGTAGCTTTGTAAAATTGATTTTCATTTTAATGTCTTTTGCCTAGCTTGGATGATTTTGGCTCACATGCAGTTCTCACAACTAGGTTAATTATATTTGTGTAATCAAGCATAACTATGGCTACGTGGAATCTTTTCTGGTTACTAAGGATCCTGTTACATGGTAATTCCTTTCAATTTCTTAGACTTAAGGGAAGAAATGATCTATTCTTTTGTATTACTTTCCTTCCTCATTCCCTTTCATTAGTGATAATATATAATATAACCACAGCATTCTTCCCCAAGTGGCACCAGCTGCCCCAGGTTAGATAGCAACACATACTTTATTGATTTTTGCCCACAACTGCTTACATAGGACCTCAGAGTCTTGCAAAATCACCCATAAAAGATTGTCTGAGGATTTGTGTCTCATTAGCTGGTGAAGTCCATTTCCACCAAGAGCTTACATTGCTTTTCCAGTCACTGGTCTTTTATCTTGTGTGCCTACTGCTCCATGGGTTTCCAGTAGGAGTACCTCAAGAAGCTGGCTGCCAGGGTAAGTCCCAAAACAGTGCTTTGTGCTGAGGTGCTGTTTAGTTTTTATATAACATCCTCTCTGATTGCCTACCTACAGAATTTGGACTAGGAGATAAATTCACAGCACCCATGCTGTTCAAAATCCTTCCACTCTGTCAATATCTAAAGAATTTTCTGTTGGGTCAATCTCAGCACAATTTCCCTCCTAGGAGGCTCCTTAGTTTTCATGATAGGATTTTGATCAAACAAGTTCAAGTATGCCTGGAATTGTACTTAGCAGGAACTGATTCAACAGGAAGTTGCTGCCCACTCTCTTGTGTAATCCTTGCCAATGATGGCACAAGGCATTTTTCACATTTCTATCTCCAGTCTTGAGCTCCCCTCAGGTAGTCAACTTGTCATCTCCATCCATGATTTCCCCCATCTCACTATATTATCACCAGTTTTCCAAATTTTCAGGTCAAAATCTTGGTGTCATTCTTGATTTTTCTTTCTCTCACTCCTCACATGTAAGCTATTAGTAAATCCTATCAACTCTATCTTTGAAATATATCTGGAATACAACCATGTCACACCACTCCCCCTTCCACCGACTCATCTTTACTTCTTTCCTGAATTATTACAATAGTTTCCTAAGTCATTTCCTTGTTTCATTCCTTGGCTTCTACACTATAATCTCCCTCAGCAGTCAGCATTATCTTTACAATATGAGTCAGTTGTGTTACTCCTCTGCTCAAAACTGTCTAAGACTTTGATCTGGAGATGAACAGCAGGAAGAAAAAGCCTCTGCATGAAGCTTTCATTTTTGATGGATGAGTGGGAACGGATATGTACAACTATTGGAGGTTGCTGTTTAAGAGGTGGTAGTTTTCTAGAAGAGCAGGTAGCCAGCTATTATAAAAAATTGTTTGCTTACATTTATTACTCAACAGCAGCAAAGGTGATGGTTTTCTTATCAGCCAGATCTGGGCATCGCCCTAGGAAGCTTAGCCTCAAGAGTCTTTTTTTCAGCCCCTTCAATCATTGTCAGTTACCTAATTTCTTTTGGTAAATATCTTTTCCACTTAACTTTGCTAGAGTGGCTTCTGTTTGCAACTAAGAATCCTGATTTTTTGAGGATAAAGAAAAAAAATCTATCAGTATCCTTAGAAGATTCCCTCTTGATATTTTGGTATGTCTCTGTCAATCCTAAATGTACATTCTCATATATATGTATATTTTAAAAATATATAATGCACATGTAGAGATTTTAGTTTGTTAATTGAGGGCACAATTTCATGCAACTTTGCACCTTGCTTTTTTCCTCTATTTGCAATCATTTCATAAGTATAGTTTGGGTTATTATAACACTTCATAAGCTTTTTCAGGACCCCTGCAATGTTTTTGCTAGTGAATGTATCATAATTTACATAGCGCATGAATGTCAGATATTCAGATTCATTTCAATTGTTCTTTATTATAAATAATGCTGTGGTTATCTCTGTATATCTTTTATTTAATAAAACTGATACCTAGAAATAAAATTAGTAAGTAACGGGAGATTATGAGTGTTTCCAAGATCCAAACATAGACAGCTCATTTACCTTTTTGGAACTTATACTAATTTATGCTCCCATCATCAGCATATGGGCATTGAGACCATATATTATGTTAAAAATTATATATATTTATGTATAAGGTGAGGTAAGAAAAGTTGTACATATATTCAGAGAGAATCAGAGCCAGACACTAGTTAAAGTGGTAAAGATAGATTTTATTAAACTATTGCAATAGGGAAAAAGAGACCTCAGTGGACTACAGGGTTCCATTCCCAATACAATGAAGACATCTGGGGATTTATAGTCATGGAGCAGAGTCTGTAGATGGAAAATTACTAAAAAGAGCATCAAGGCTGGGGTATTCTTATTAAACTGATCTGATAGGATTATTGCTGCTGGCAGACCGGGGTGATCAGACAAGAATGGGAAAGATTCTCTCTCAACTAACTTAACTAGGATTCTTGCTAAAACTGGGCTATGCAGTTCTGCTAAGGATGTGGGCCAAGGTCAAAGCCCAGTCTAGAAGAGAAGAGGGCTTAGAGGAGCCTGACTAATGCTCTTGGTCAAGAAAACATGTCGTCAATATACCTATTTAAATATTTCCTGTTTTCTTTCACTTTGCTAGATTTTAATTTATCACTTCCTAGCTGACCCTGAGGTATAGTTTTTCAACAAAGAAGTCACAGTGGAACTCCACGTTTTGTCTTTGCCTTGTAGAGTATAATAAGAGAGACAGCTACCACACATTTACAAGCACTGGCATCAATTCTGCCCATGCTTACTCATTTTAAAAAATATGGATTTGAAGATAACGTTAAGATGAGAATTGAGTAACACGCATTTCTATACTCTTAAACATTGCTACACTTGACTTTCTATGAATATTAAAAAAAGTTTTCTTTAGCATAAACATGTTTCATAGAAAAATATACTGAAGTTTCACATCCTCTTGTTGCATTTCTTAGTCTGATAAGAATGCTTTGAGGCTCATTTTTAGCATAAACACCTGCCCAGGGTTTCTTTTCTCTCTCTCTCTCTCTCTCTCTCTCTGTCTATGGAGTAATCCTGTTTTGATTTAAATCAGGTAAAGAAAAAGTTCTCAGTGTTTACTCCATCAAGTTTTTTCAGGGCTTCTCTGCTGGGGTGACCTCAGAGAATGGTTCATAGGAATCAAGCAGTCACACCACCAACTTCTCCATTACTGAGCAAAGACCTTTGTACAAACTGCAAGTTGTGTGCAGGAATCCAGCTCTCATCTGAAGAGACTGAGAGAGCTGGTGTGTGGTTACTATAGCAACATGCTTTCCGGCTTCAACCCTGCCCAAGATTGGGGAAGCTGACAAGTTGCATAGTGGACTGTTCTACTTATTCACAGTGGGAAGCGGCATCCCACAGCTGCTTCCAGACCATTGCTACACAGCCTTCCCTCAGTAACCTTTGAGATGTATGACATTCATTTATATCAAATTCCACTCTTACCATCACCATTCTCAGATTTCCTCTATAAACCCTTGAGGACTTGGGTTTGGCTTGTTGCCTTTATCTCCATTTGTATTGTCTAACACTCTGCCCACAAACTTTTTCTTTTTCTTTTCTTTTTTTTTTTTTTGAGACAGGGTCTAGCTCTGTCACTCAGGCTGGAGTGCAGTGGAACAATCATGGCTCACTGCAGCCTCAACCTCTAGGGTTCAGGCAATCCTCTGCCTCAGACTCTCGAGTAGCTGTAACTACAGGTGTGTGTCGCCATACCCAAATTATTTATTTAGTTATTTAGTAGAGATGAGTTCTCACTATGTTGCCCTGGCTGGTCTCAAACTCCTGTACTCAAAAAATTATCCTACCTTGGCCTCCCAAAGTGTTAGGATAATAGGCAAGAGCCATCGTGTCTGGCTGTCTGCCTGCAGACTTAAGCAACTCCACTGATTTGGACAAATCTTCCATATAAACATGTCCTGGGCCTTACCAACTGTAATTGTTCTACCTCTGAATTCCTACCCTTTGACCACAACATTCTTCCTTTCACCTCTTAAGCTCTGCACTGTCATTGCTGCTAAATCTTCTCTCTATATTTATGCTGACTTGCAGACTTATTATCATCTTATTCTCTTAGCCTAACATCCCCAATCCCAGCCTATTTTTATTTCTTTATCTAGCCTGGGAACCAATAATAAAAAATCAAAGTATGTTCACACCAGTATTGATAAAGGGACCTGCTAATGTGTGTCCATATTACCACAGTCCCTAGAGAAGGGCATGACGAGAGTTCAAGTGTTCCTGCACATTCCTGCGCACATTCCTGAGAGTCCTCTTACCTCTTATGCATTCCCATAAGTAACTTCAGGGGCTCCTTGACTTTCCTGTTGTCTATGCCCAGTCAGATGAAAGATGGAAATCCCCATTTACTCCTTTTCTGAGTAGTCATACGTTTGAATACTATAGTATCAATGTAATTGTAAGCCTGGTGATTTCTGTAACTTTTATATCAATGTAATTGTAAGTCTTGTGATTTGTGTAACTTTTGCATAATGCATGATGTCTTAGGCCTTGTAAACTTCCTTTGTTCTTTGGCAAGCTTGATGAACACTTCTGCTGGGTCCTTCTGATAAAAGCTATGAGACAGCTCTAGTACCTAGCACCAGGAAGTCTGGACCGAAAAATGTCACTATCCATGAATGTGACTGAAACTCTAGTTCTATACAACATTCTGCTGGTCACATGGTTAATGTATAGATACTAACAACTCTGGACTTATAAAAGTGAGCTGTAAAAACCTGGAGGGTGGGCAGAACCATTTTAGAAAGACCTAGAGTCCGGCTCTGCTCCCTGGATTCAAATTCAGAAATAAACATCTTTATACCAGTTTCCTGCCCCTTTGATTTATTGGTATCAAGGGAGAGCAGCTGAGAGTCAACTTAGACCATAACAGTATCACCACTACTCTTATTCTTAGGATCTTTCTATGAGCTAACTTAGAGAATCTTTGATCCAAAAGAATTTGTCTTTGTTTCTATTACGTAGAACTACAGAAAATAGGGGAAAAAACTATGCTGATGGCCACATCACCAGTTTTTTTATTGCTTAGCAACATTTTAAATCAGATCCACTTTTTATTTTGTGCAGTAGTTGATCCAAATATTTACAATTCTCTGGCTACCTACCCACCCTTGAGACCCCGTCTCTTGTGGTTCAGCTTCATTAGACTTCTCATCAGACACCAAATACCAAGTTCTTCTGTTGTGACTCCATGTTTTTGTACTTTTTTCACTAGAGTGTCATTTTCTTACTTCTTTCTCTATTCAAACTCCTACTCATCCTTCAAGGTCCAACTCAAATGTTACCTTTTCTATGTTGCATTTTCTGACTCCTCTAAGAATCCTTTTCTCTCTTTTTTTTTTTTTTGAGTTGGAGTCTCACTCTCGCCCAGACTGGAGTGCAGTGGCCACTCCCGGTCACCGCAGCCTTGACCTGCTGGGCTCTGACGATCCTTCCGCCTCAGCCTTCCGAGTAGCCGGAATTACAGGCGTGTGCTACCACGCCCGGCTCATTTTTTGATTTATTGTAGAGATGAGGTCTCACCTGCCCAGGCGGGTCTCGAACCCGTGGGCTCAGGCAATCCACTCACCTCAGCCTCCCAAAGGTGCAGGATTACAGGCTGAGCCACGAAGCCCGGCTCCTTTTCTCTTTTCGTTTTTTTTTTTTTTCACACAGCCTCTCTTTTCCACTAAACTGTGAGGCAGAGGTAGTCTGTTTTCATTATTATATTACCTTTCTACTGTTTTTGCCTCAGTCTTAGTAGGCTAGGTGGTTTAGACAACAGAATTCATTTTTTATAGTTCTGGAGGCTGGGAAGTCCCAGCATACATATCATCTGAGCGATGACCAATTCAGTTCCTGGGGAGGGTTCCCTTCATGGCTTGCCTATGGTCACCTTCTTGTTGTATCCTCACGTGGTAGAGAGTGAGTTCTAGTCTCCTCGTCTTCTTAAAAGGATACTAATTCCACAACGGGCTCTGCCCTCCATACCTCATCTGAACCTAAATTCCTCCCCAAAGCCTCACCTTTTAAAATCACAATCTGGAGTAAAGATTTTGACATATGAATTCTGGGAAGACACAAGCATTCAGTTTATAACACACTCTAATTCAGAATTCAAAATCACATGAAGTAAGCAAGCAGAAGACGACTTGAATATTGAGTAAGATGTGCTTTAGAGCTGAGCCACTTGCAAGAGCTCAGTCTTTAAATCTGTGCTGTCTCCTACTATGACCACCAGCCACATGGGGCTTACTGAGTGGTTGATATGTGGCTAGTCTAAACTGAGATGTGCTCTAAGTGCATCACACACAAAGAACATAAGATATCTCCTTAAGAGTTTTTGTATTGATTACATGTTGAAATGATAATATTTTAGATATGTTGGAGTAAATAATATAATTAAAATTAATCTTGCCTGCTTCTTTTTACCTTTTGAATGTAGCTAAAATAAAATTCAAAGTAACATATGTGGCTTACATTATATTTTTATTAGACAGTGCTGTTTTAAATAAATAATCCAGCTTGGTTCAGTGGCTCAGCGTATAATCCCACAGCTTTGGGAGGCTGAGGTGAGGGGATTGCCTGAGCCTGATGGTTCGAGACCCACCTGGGCAACTTGGCGAGACCTCATTTCTACAATAAATCAAAAAATAGCTGGGCGTGGTAGTGCATGCCTGTAGTTCCAGCTACTTTGAAGGCTGAGGCGGAAGGATTGCCGGAGCCCAGCAGGTCAAGGCTGCGGTGGCCAGGAGCGGCCACTGCACTCCAGTCTGGGCGACAGAGTGAGACTCCAACTAAAAAAAAAAACAAAAAACAACAACAAAAAAACATAATCCATGAAGTTCAATATGGTCTGGATATAGTGATCAATATAGCAGTATAGACTGACAGAGTTTAGGAATATTTCCAGTGGAAAACTTGATGTATATACCTATATTTATAATAATATTTGAATTTTTAAAATAATTTTTCAGACTATTTAGTGAATTCAGGTTTCTTGTCAACATGAGGCTTTCATTAAAAAAGAAGTAGGTGATAATACCATTCTGCCCTATTATCAGATGATTCGATACAATACTGTTCTAACATATACTTGAAAAACAATTAAAATATAGGCATCCTTGTTATTCAAGCATCTATATTAAGTCACCACATTTACAAAGTGGCATAAAGCAGCTACAGTAGTCATAACACATGCACACACACAAATTCACTAATAAATTTATACTTTATATGTAATTACTTTATATATAATTACAATTAATCATTGCAGGAAGAGTCAATATCTTTGTGGGTCTCTTATTAATGGTGCTGTGCTGTTAACATCCAAGAATACAAGGCAAATGCAATATAATACATCAGTTACAAAATGACATCACAATTCTTGCAAAAGATTCAGGATTTCAGGAATTTATTCAAAAGCTAATGACAAATAAAAAGCAGATTAAAATGAAACCAGTTAATATTTGAAGGAGTACAAACAAAATAACGACTCCATTAGTCCTTGAAGAGAATAATTTCAATGTCAAAAGATCCTAAGAATTCTTTGGAAAATTGTTGAAGAACTCTGATACATATTTTAAATGACTTCTTTACTTTGAAAGTCAGATATGAAGTCAAATATGCTGTTCTGTATTACAATGTGACATGCCTAAAAAATGATGCTGACTCCCTCAATCAACACTCATTTTATTGTCTTTCCCCTAAAAGTCAGTTTATAGTTACGAACCTCAGTTAAGCATTTCTTAAAGATGAGAAAAAAAATGTACTGAGTTTCCAAATATTTATTTTCATTTTTCAAAAGAAAATCCACTTAGATACTTTCTTCCACATTTTATTTTGTGTTTCTGGTCCCCATTTGAAGTATATTTGCTTTAAACAGTCTTCTACTGATACCAATTGTCCTAAGATAATTGCGATAGCTAAATTTTAAAACTTATTATACATTCTAATAGGATATTCTTTCTAAATAGATAAGCATACAAAAACGAGGAAAATAAATTAATAGGTTCATGTTGTTCTTATGAGCGCTTACATGATTTTGAGTAGCGCTGGTAGATTTAGTCATTCATGAGTTAAACTTGTTAGGTATCTAAACTTTTTAGGCACCTGAATGTTTGTATAGCAGGGAGGGACACAAGATGTAGTCAAATAGCTAATGCAGAATCAACGTTTACATTGTTTAGCTAGCTACACATTTTTAGCTTAGTTCATTTCTCATTTCTGAGAAGGAAATTAGTTTGAACTTGTTCAACCCAAAGGAAATAGTGGTTTCAACACTATTTCCTTTTAACATTTTGGTGCTCAAATTTTTTTGCGGGGGGGGGTGGGGCAGAATTTTTATTTTTTTTGCTAAAGCATTTTTTTTTTTTTAAAGGGGCATCTTAATTGGCAGTCACCTTTATTTTATTTATTTATTTATTTATTATTTTTGACTTGGAGTCTCACTCTGTCGCCCAGACTGGAGTGCAGTGGTCGCTTCCGGCCACTGCAGCCTTGACCTGCTGGGCTCCAAGCGATCCTTCTGCCTCAGCCTTCCGAGTAGCTGAAACTACAGGCGGCGCTACCACACCCGGCTAATTTTTGATTTATTGTAGAGATGAGGTCTCACCAAATTGCCCAGGTGGGTCTCGAACCCACGGGCTCAGGCAATCCATTCACCTCAGCCTCCCAAAGGAACGGGATTACAGGCTGAGCCACCAAGCCCGGCTGCTAAAGCATCTTCTAAAAACATATCCTATCATCTGTGACTCCAGTGATAACTGTTATTATTACAGAATTGATAAAATTATTTGATTTCTTTTTTTTTTTTTTTTCAGCTGGAGTCTCACTCTGTCGCCCAGACTGGAGTGCAGTGGCCGCTCCCGGCCACCGCAGCCTCAACCTGCTGGGCTCCGGCAATCCTTCTGCCTCAGCCTTCCAAGTAGCTGGAACTACAGGCAGACGCTACCACACCGGGCTAATTTTTTTTGATTTATTGTAGAGGTGAAGTCTTGCCAAGGTGCCCAGGTGGGTCTTGAATCCGTGGGCTCAGGCAATCCACTCACCTCAGCCTCCCAAAGTGTGTGATTACATGCTGAGCCACCGAGCCCGGCTAATTATTTGATTTCAATGCCACGTATATCTTGAATAAAAATAAAATTTAGATAACAAAAATGTTTTAAAAGTTTTAATGCATTACCGTTGCTATGAGTAACATACTGTTCTTTGTTTCCGACCCAAAAGTCTTGTATTTTTTTCAATATACTTGAAAGTGTGGCTAACTCATTAGCGTGCAAGTAGGATAAAAGACCCTTCACAATTCCTGACATGAGGCTATTCAGATTTTTCTTTATTCTTGTGCTTGTTTTGAAAGTGAACTCATTCAAGAATTTGTCCATTTCTTTTAAATTGTTGAATTCATTGACAAATATTCATTATATTCTCTTCTTACTTTTAAAATTTTTCTAAGACCTCCTTTGTTTTTTTCTGATGTTGGTAATTTTTGTTCTTTTTTCTTTATTACTCTTGCTAGACGTTACCAATTTTATGTACCTAATGTAGGTAGGCTCAGCTAGGATTCCTCGGGACTACCAGTTGCCCAGACTGGAGTGCAGTGGCCGCTCCCGGCCACCGCAGCCTCACCTGCTGGGCTCTGGCGATCCTTCCACCTTAGCCTTCCAAGTAGCTGGAATTACAGGCATGCGCTACCACGCCAGGCTGATTTTTTGATTTATTGTCGAGATGAGGTCTCGCTGCCCAGGAGGGTCTTGAACCCGCAGGCTCAGGCAATCCACTCACATCAGCTTCCCAAAGGTGCGGGATTACAGGCTGAGCCACCGAGCCCAGCTCTAAGTGGGGATTTCTTAGGGGAATTGGCTTATACAACTAGAGCCTGCCTGAGAAGTTCCATGACAGGCTGTCTATGAGATGGAGACCCAGGAAACTGTTGTAACTCAAGCCCAAAGGCTTAAAAAAACTGGGGGACTGTGGATGTAAGTCCTGGAGTCTAAGAGCTGAACATAGAGTACTAATTCCCAGGGGCACAAGAAGAATGTCTCAGCTCCAGGGGTGGGGGACGAAATTCACCTTTCTTCTGCCTTGTTCTATTCTGGACCCCAGCCGACTGGATGGTGCCCACTTAGAAGAAGGGCAGATCTTCTCCACTCAGTCCATCAACTGACACACCTGTCTCCTGCAAGACAGATGGTCAGTGGAACCAGAGAGACCATGTATTGTAGAGATGAGGTCTCGCCTGCCCAGGCGGGTCTCGAACCCGCGGGCTCAGGCAATCCACTCACCTCAGCCTCCCAAAGGCGCAGGATTACAGGCTGAGCCACGGAGCCCAGCTCCTTTTCTCTTTTAGTTTTTTTTTTTTCCACACAGCCTCTCTTTTCCACTAAACTGTGAGGCAGAGGTAGTCTGTTTTCATTATTATATTACCTTTCTACTGTTTTTGCCTCAGTCTTAGTAGGCTAGGTGGTTTAGACAACAGAATTCATTTTTTATAGTTCTGGAGGCTGGGAAGTCCCAGCATACATACCATCTGAGTGATGACCAATTCAGTTCCCGGGGAGGGTTCCCTTCATGGCTTGCCTATGGTCACCTTCTTGTTGTGTCCTCACGTGGCAGAGAGTGAGCTCTAGTCTCCTCGTCTTCTTAAAAGGACACTAATTCCACAACGGGCTCTGCCCTCCATACCTCATCTGAACCTAAATTCCTCCCCAAAGCCTCACCGTTTAAAATCACAATCTGGAGTTAGGATTTTGACATATGAATTCTGGGAAGACAGAAACATTCAGTTTATAACACACTCTAATTCAGAATTCAAAATCACATGCCGGGTGTGATAGCATGCGCCTATAGTTCTAGCTACTTGGAAGGCTGAGGCAGAAGGATCGCAGGAGCCCAGCAGGTGGAGGCTGTGGTGGCAGTGAGCATGTCACTGCACTCCAGCTGGGTGACAGAGACTCTGACTAAAAAAAAAAAGATGTT